GGACTCGACTTTATCTGGACTAGGAGTATCTGGATTTGACTCCAGCTGGACTAAAACAAACACTGGACTGGAGTCTTTGCTGATCTGTTCCAGCTCCGGTGCTTTGCTCGAGGCTATGGCCTTCCGTGACGTCACTGGAGCGCGGTCACTCGGGCCGAGACGAGGCGCGACTCTTTTTGCGATCACGATGAGCGCCAGTGACGTCACCGCAGGCACGATAATTAACGAGGTGCATGATTGTAATGACGCGATCGATGACGCCGTTATCATAAATCAATGAATGTGATTGCGTTGCCATGTGATGCTTCACGTGCCGGGGGTTATTGTGATTAATTAGGTAACTGTTAACCAGGTATAGCTGATGATGTGAGCAATGAGGCGATTGATGATGTTATGATATTAAGGATGTGATAATGAGCTAATGGGTTAATTAGCAAATAGACTGGTTATAAATGTGATAAATTAGGCGATCGTTAATTGTAAAACAAACCCAGTTATATCAACATCAACTGCAACCTGATGATGGTGGTGGTGTGATAAGGATGATATGAATGATGGATGGTGGTGATGGTGATGACAATTGTGACGACGACGGTAATCTACATCAGCCGACGCTTCGCGTAAACCACGTGTCTGTGTGTAGCCACCCCCACTCTGAATCCCTCCCCGATCCCCGCCCCCTGTGAAAACAGCCGCTGCTCCGTGCAGCTCACTTCTGCTCGCTCATTCCTTCTCTCTTCCCTCCCCTCTCATCTTCGACATCTTGGCCAGGCCATTCCTTCCCCCCCCCTCCTCCTTCCTTCACGCCGCTCATCTTGAGCCGTGCCCTGTGCGTCTCTCTTGGAGGACTTCCGTCCCGGAACCCCTTTGTCCTTTCCCGCTCACCAGGAAAGCCTCGCCGACTACTCAGGACTCTTCTCCAGGAGGGTCTTGCCAAGTTTTCGTAGTCGGATGCCACGTTGCTGCTGCTGCTGCTGCATGTGATCCAGACCGAGTGATTTACAGAGAGTTGTACCAGCAATGGGATGTTTTGGTCAATAGCAGTTAAGTGTTTGCGGTTTTTTTTAGCAATGGGAGGAAATCGGAGAACGCGGAGGAGATCCAGACAAATCAGGATCGGGGGCGGGGCAGTGTGGTGATGATGGTGTTGGTGATATTACTGAATGTGGTGCCTACACGGTTGTGGTGAGTGATGCCGATTGTGACCATGGTGATGGCAGTGATTGTGACAGTAGTGGCGATGATGCTATTGTGATCACGAGGCGTGTACTCGCGTGTAGGCGCCCCGCCCCCCTCTCCCAGCCCCGCCCCTCCCCCAGCCCGCCCCCTACACACCACCTCGTTTGGCACTGGCGCCATTCTCATGTTAATAGGTCAAACTCAACACGTTCGACCATCACAGCCCTGCTGTGTGGCCTTAAAAAGGAAAACAATATACTGTATATATAAAATGGGCAACGTTTCGGGCAACGGCCCTTCTTCATCGGACATAAACAATCGTACATTAACATTCTACCGATGTGCGGGGGCGGAGAAAGGGAGGAGGGGAGGGGGAGTAGGGGGGAGGAGAGAGGGGAGGGGGAGTAGGGGGGAGGGGTAGGAGAGGAGGGAGGAGAGGGGAGGGGTGCGCACTGGGGAGGGGCTTCTCTCTTCGTCGAACACGTGTGCTATCAGGGGTCTCACCTCGACCCACCTCGCCCCCACTCTTCACAAGACCCCCACCTCAGTATCCCCTTCACCACGCAGTGCCTCCAACCCCCACACCCCCCTATTCCAGTGCCCCCCCCCCCACAAGCCCCTACAGTCGTGGACACGAGTCACGTGGCGGGCTTGAGACCCCAACCCCACCCCAGCGACAACAGGCAGTGTTTGTGAGCGCCGATTCGTTTGCGTCGAAGCCGACCTAGCGGGAGGGTCCCCGGCGGCACCACGACTCACGCCGGTCACGGGGGCGGTGGGAGCTGTCGCTCGCGCGGCGATAGCGAATTTTATTGTCTGCAGTGACCAACCACGGATACATCAGCATCAGCAGAGCAGTCGCCTTCCTCTCACACCATCGCAATCAGAACGAGCAGGGGTCACGTGACGCCGCGACGTGGGCACGAAAACAAAGAGGGGGTGGGGGGGGGGGTTGAGGAGCGGGGCTGATAGCCCCCCGCTCCATCCCCCTCTCCTTGACCAACTCCCCCCCAACACCACCCTCAAAATAACATACACCGGACGCAACTCATAGTGCAAATCGCTGACGCAGCAGCATCAGCATCATCATCATGCAAAGTCAGACACAAATAAATAAATAAATAGCGCTAATTATCAATTAAAAAGAGCCACGTGGCCTCGAAAAAGTGACACTGAAATGTGGGGCGGACCGAACAGTGGGGGAGGGGGGACGGCCCCCAAACCCCCCACCGCCCCCCTCAGACCCAAGCCCACCGCCCACCCCCCTCCCTCTGCCAGAACCCCCACCACACCCAGAGGGCCCTGGTCCCACTTCACCGCCTGGTCATTGTAACCATCCCAGCCACTTTAAATCCACCAATGGATTAAAGGCGTGCCCCATACCATAGTCGGCCATGTGGATTTTGTGAAGCGACGTACTTCACCACTCTGGGCAGTGCGGAGTTGGCAAGCACCGATTTCTGAGATCCCTCGCCACTGATGTGACCGTGGTGGAACGCGAACTCAGCCCCGCCTGGCTCACACGGTGCATGCACCAACTGCTGCGCTACCGCTCCGCATGCCCCCGTGGAATCCTATCGATCGCCTGTGACCTGAGGAGCTCGTCAGGCTGAGCGGGGGTTCAGTCCGCTGGCGCTTGAATGGTAGACGGCCTGGCAATACCAGAGGCGCTATAGGCCGTGGGCCTGCAATGGATGGGGCTAGATGGCAGCTCCGCTGGCTGGAGTCAGCGGCGGGTAAACCCTGTGCTCATATTTGTATGAAATCAAACATTTTCACTGGTGTGAATCATTGGCATTTGCTTCATAGGGCGTCATATGAGATGCCCGGAGTTTAGGGTGAACTTTGGGGGGTGGGGGGTCCCGAAAGGTGAGGGTCTGTGGGGGGGGAGGGGTCGTGGGGGAAGCGAGCAATGCCTCCATCACCCAGACGGAGAGAGTTTTAAAATTTTAGAATCCCAAAGCCTGGCGCGGAGCAGGCACGGAATGATGTCAACCGGGCACAAGCCTCATCCTCAACATACTATTATCATCATCATCATAATTACCACTGCCATCAACATTATGATCGTCACTCTCAACATCGCCATTATCAATACCATCGCGATCAGCTAAAATGTAACCAACACCCCCATCGTGAATATAATCGTATTCCTTGCCATCGTTATCTGCAGCAGCAGCTTCAGAATTCATCATCATCACTATCACCACCATTATTTCCACCATCATCACAACCACCAGCAGGCTTATCAACATTACCATCACCAACATTCTCAATATCAACATCAGAGCAATTTCATCCCAACAGTCTTCATAACACAGCAGCACCATCACCATCAGCACCACCACCATCCTCAGCATCAGTATCATCAGCAGCCTCACCATAATCGTCAGTTTAAAATGTCTAGCGAGTGAGGGAGCACAAGACAGAGGCACTAGCACATCACCATCTACATCACCATATCACCAGTGACGGCAGCTCCCTCGCCCCACCGTCAAAACCACCAACTTCATCGCCATCCTCATCTTCAAGTTTCATCACTAATTACCATCATGAACAGGTGTATAATCATCTCCAGCTTCACCGCTATGTGAGCGCAATCATCATCATCATTACCATCGCCACCTACCACCATCATCAAGCGCTTCATCACCATCACTATCATCACCATCTATATAATCACCATCACCACCCATCAAGCGGAACACCCAATACCAGCATTATGCACCCCAATGCTAGCAGCAACACTGTGGTGGTGGTGGTGGTTGGTAGGAGTTCTGGTATTTATTGCGCGTGTGACATAGCTGTTGGCAGTTGTGGTGCTGGTGTTGAGTGCAGTGGTTGTGTTGATGCGAGGGACTGGTGGTGGCTGAGATGGTGGTTGTTGTGATATCAGTGCTTGTGGTATTTGGTCTTATTGGTGTTTGTATTGATCACGGCGTTTGTGCTGGTATTGGTAATGGTATTGATCGCGGCGGTTGTGTCTGGGTATTGGTAGCGGTGGTAGTAGTAGTTTAGGTGCCGCCCCTACTGCAAGTTACAAGTGGCGGTGTGGGACACGAGCTGGCAACACCAGTGTCGTGGTGGTGGTGCTGTTAGTATTAGGACGGTCGTTGTGGTGGTGGTGGTATTGATGGTGTTTGCGTCCCAAGCCCTACTGCACATTGCACGTGGTGGAGGGAGACGCGAGCTGGCAGCAGACGCACGCGGGGCTCATGGGTTTGGGGGGGATGAGGTCCAAGTCCTCGTCGTCTGGGACCTCGTCCAGACGGTACCCGTCCTTCAGCAGCTGCCGGTTCAGGTCCTGGTTGATTTGCTACAAAAACAGATGGGTCCCATATTCTTAGGTTTTTTCGGTAAAGTCACGTAGGTAAAAAATTAAAATTGATAAAAGTAAAATAAAATAAAAATCACCACGTTTTGGAGGCAACACAAGCTTCCGTCTTCAGGTGGAACCGTCACAGCACGCTTGCTGCTGAAGACGGAAGCTTGTGTTGCCTCCGAAACGTCGTGATTTTTATTTATTTTTATTTTATTTTACTTTTATTAATTTTAATTTTTTACCTACGTGGCTTTACCGAAAAAACCTAAGAATATGAATCCTTGCAGTCACGAAAGCTTCAAATCTAGAACAGATGGGTCCCCTCATCCGTCGCCGTAATCGTCACCATCACCACCATTATCATCATCATAATATTAATAATCATTATCACCATCATTATCACCAGCATCATGAACATTGTTTATCATCACCGTCATAATCACCAGCATCATTAACATTAACATTTTTGTCATCTTTAGCATTGATGGTGACGAGGGAACGGATTTCTAGCGCAATGCAATGTGGCACACAGGGATCGTGAGGGCGCCATGGGTCAGGGGTTACGGGGGCTCCGGGGGGAGGGGTCTCACCTCTGCAGAAGAATATCCCGACGAGGAGTAGCGCGAAAGCGTCATCTCATCCTCGCTGTGAACACAGAACAACACCTCGTCACGAGCCACCACCTCACCACACGCAACACCTACTCAGCACCTCCTCACTACTACCAACATGTACGAACCACACACAGTACCTCTTTAATACCTGCTTGCTACACAGAGCACCTCTTACTACTTTATTGAACACCATCTCCTCACAGCACACCTTGTCACACCTCGTCACAAACACCTACTCCGTGCCCCGTGTGTATGATCTGTAAGTTTGAGTGTGTGAGCTTGTGTCTGTATGTGTTCTCTGAGCTGTGGTGTGCTTGCTTGAGTCTGTGTGAGGTGTGCAATATGCGTGTGTAATCTGTGAGTCTGAGTGAGTGTGAGCTTGAGTGTGTGTGCACTGGAAGTATGCATGAGCCTGTGTCTGTATGAGCTGTGAACTGTATGTGTGAGCTTTGAGCTTGTGCGTATCTGTGGGCTGAGACTGAGAGTGTTTGTAAGTGTGTGAGCTGTTCGTGCGTGTGGGCTGTACGTGTGTGTGTGGCTGTACGTGTGTGCGAGCTCGTTCGTGTGTGCAGGCTGTTCGTGTGTGTGGGCTGTACGTGTGTGTGTGGCTGTACGTGTGTGTGTGGGCTGTACATGTGTGTGTGGCTGTACATGTGTGTGAGCTGTTCGTGTGTGTGGGCTGTACGTGTGTGTGTGGCTGTACGTGTGTGTGAGCTGTTCGTGTGTGTGGGCTGTACGTGTGTGTGTGGGCTGTACTGTGTGTGTGGCTATACGTGTGTGCGAGCTGTTCGTGTGTGCAGGCTGTTCGTGTGTGTGCAGGCCTGTACGTTGTGTGTGTGGCTGTACGTGTGTGTGTGGGCTGTACGTGTGTGTGGCTGTACTGTGTGTGAGCTGTTCGTGTGTGTGGGCTGTACGTGTGTGTGGTGGCTGTACATGTGTGTGAGCTGTTCGTGTGTGTGGGCTGTACGTGTGTGTGTGGCTGTACGTGTGCGTGAGCTGAGTCTGTGTGTGAGCTTGACTTGCGTGTGTTAGCTGCGATCCTGAAGCGCGTCCGTGTGTACGAGCTGTAAGTGGGTGTGCGCAAGCTGTACTTGCGTGCATGCAGGCTGTATGTGTGTGCGCGATGCGAGCAGTACGTGTGTGCACGTGTGAGGTGCGAGCCGTACGTGTGTGTTTGCGCGAGCTGTACATGCGCGCGCGTGCGAGCTGGAAGCAAAAGATCGGCACCTGTCGGAGGTCGATGGCCACCAGGGGGTTTCTCGTCGGGCCTCTGCTCCAGCGAGGCGTAGCCCTTGCTGGGCGCACCGAGCCGCGTGCGCGCCCCCTTCTTGGGCTGCTGGCTCACGGGGCTGCCCTCTCCCCGACGCGCCCCCTCACGCTCCCGATCGCGCTGTTTGTCTGCTGCTACGGAAGGGGTGTGGGGTGTGGGTGAGGGGTGAGGGGGCCCAGTGACCTGGTCACCTGTGTGGCATGGTAACCCTCCACCGTGACCTCTTCACTTTCGCGATGTAATCATGACGACGAGGGGGCGTGGTGGGGGGGCAGTGTGCCGGTGACCAGCTGTGATTTGTTACCGTGATCGTCAGCAACACCACCACCGTTGTCATGATTACCACCACCGTCATTATCCAGCATCATCTGTTTGTCAGTGACACTGGGTGGGTGGAGAGATGGCAGCCGTGAGCCGGCGACCTCGTGACCCGGTGAACCACTGCGGGCTGCCCTCACTCACCGGTGCCCAGGGTCGCCGGGGACGAGGTCGTGGTCGCCCCGTCCGCCACATCCCTGCCGCTGTCCGTGCTGCTCGCATCGCTCGAGTCCTGGAGAACACGGGGAGAGGGGGGGGGGGGCGTACGGTGATAGGAGAGGACGGGTGAGACACGGGGAGACAGAGAGGGGACAGGGGGAGACAGAGAGTATCGTGGACACGGGGACACGAACACACATGGGGTTCGGGGAGGCCGAAGAGCGTCTCGTGCTGAGAGCAACCCCGCCCCAAATCGCTGCAGGGCTGCCGGGGGCCGCAGTTCAGGAAAGCCGTATAAAGCCTGCACTAGGCCCCCCGTTGAAGCTCCGCTCACGCAGCGGCGAGGCCCCGCGTCCCCCTGACGCCTCCGGCCTCGCGCTTCCCCTAGGGGGGGGGCGTTCGCATGCCGGGACCCCACGTCCCCCAGCTCGCCCCCGGGGCCCCCGAACCTCACCGATTCCGAGGTCTCCACCGCAAGTCCCGGCTCCTCCAGCCGCGCCGCCTCCTCCATCGCCATCGGTGAGCTCGGCCTCACGTGACCCGCGCGTGACGTCACGGAGAGAGGAGAGTTCTCGTGATGACGTCACGCCCCGGCGGGAGATTCAAACTCCCCACCCCCCTCACCCACGTTGACTCACAGATAAAAGTCTTGTCGGTAACACGTGATAATAATAATAAACGTTTATTTAAAATAAATTATCTCTAGAAAGGGGGTACAGTAAAAATACACAAGAGATTTAAATAAACAACTCATATGTACAACGAAAGAATAAGGGCACACGGCTGTTTTATTTCGTCACTCCACTGCTGGATGAGAGGCCTCCAAACCACTCCCCACTCACGTGCGGTGTCATGGCGGTTATTTGACCATACTACACCGTGCCGGCTTGTTGGTGAAGGCGCAGGGAGCAAAGACGTTGGAGCATAGCGCCAGTACTGTACAACATTGGCGGTTGCCCAAAGCGTGGGCCCGTATAGTTAACGTGAAATCAATCACGTCTGTTGGCAACTTAAGCATGAACAAACCTCATAGCTATCGTGTAGGGTACACAGTTACGTAGTTAAGCCCTCGCTCAACACGTGGTTGCACAACGCGTGTTCGCTACAACGCAGTTCTTCCATTTGGGAACACTTTTCGCACAACGTGGAAAGCGCCCGTTATAACGCGAAACGCGCCGGTTATAACGCAGAACGCGCCGGTTATAACGCAGAACGCGCCGGTTATAAGGCAGAACGCGACCATTATAACGCGGAACGTGTCCGTTATAACGGGGTTTCTGAGCGGTCGATTACGAACTACTTTCTAGAGCTGCACGGCTGAGCAATCACGTGGTGGCGTGCCCTGAGTTATTTGGCCCGCCACCTCACTGTGTGTAGCACATCGTATCTCGCCACAAACATTATCGCTACATTACTTATCGGGAAAGGTTTTCGCTAAACGCGTTTTTCGCTTAACGTGGCACTTTTCAGAAACGCATCTATCGCGTTCAACGAGGACTCACTGTACTCCACAACAACTGATCAGTGCTCTGATAAAAAAAAAAGATTGTAAAAAGAGGCCCCGTGGAGCCACCTGGAAACCCACAACAAAACAATGCTGCTGAACTACACTGATTGTTACACGTACAGGATCAAAGGCAATGCCACTACACGTGTGGGAGTTGCTATTGCTCACCATCGTAATCGGCCAATCCACTGCTCGATTAAAGTCCTTCTCCCCCACCCCGCCCTCTCCCAAGCTACGAATCCACTGGCTTACGAACAGGACTGCGGTCGGATTTGTTTGAAGTGACGTCGACCGTTGATTTACACACAACACTTTGACGACGTGCTACAGCTACTGATGAGGCAATTGCGAACGAATTTCACGGAGACATCGACCACAGAGCTATGGCGAACGAGTGATGACGACAACGGTGGTGGCACGTGGTGTTGCGGTGAGCGCACAAAGACGCCGGGATGGTCACGTGCAGCACGGATGCGATGCAGCTCCACGTCGTCTACGATTGGTGACATTACGAGGAAAGAACCCGCTGGTTGCTCCGCAACGGAAATAAATGCAACAGCTGTGATGTGTATACTCTTCTCACAATCATCCTGTACACGGAGCACTGCGAGTAATCTGCGTTGTTTAATCTCATAAAATAATGCCAAGATAATATGCATTGTGAGGTTTATTTTTTTCTCGGATTTTAAGAATATTCTGGCGAAATATTAACATGAATAATTAAATTGAAAAGTTAGACCATTTTAAAAGAAAACCGTGTGCTTAGTCTTCTGTATTTGTTATTCCCATCTCGTCGGTGTTGTGGAGGGGGGGGGCAGAATAGATGTAGAGAAGAGATAGAGCTGTAGCGAGATGAGGGGAGATCCAGGCGAGACAGGGATGGAGTGAAATGAGAGGAAGGATGCAGACATGATACAGAGGAGAGATTAATTCGCTGTTTATGTTGATTATCTTGATGTGTTAATATTAATTAGAATTTCATCTGATCATTGAAGCGCTTCTACATTTCATAAAACCAAATCCCCTTGAGCTAATTGGGGCCCTACACTCGTACTTGGTTTTAGCCTACCTAGTGCCACCGTTGTTAGGAAGCTCACATCATCCTCATGACGAAGTGACGAGGGGGGGCCCGGCTGGGGCTCCTGGGACCCCCCCCTCGATCTGCGGGTCCCCCCGTACTCGAGCTCCGTTCGCTGCCTCGTCCTCCTCCTCCTCTTGTGGCCCCAACTCCGCGTTCCCGCGGCGAGGACCAGGAGGCAGAGAATCACAACGCCGAGGAAGGTGAGGCCCCCCAGCCCCGCGGACACCAGCAGCAAGGGGTCAGCGGGGTCAGCGGGGTCCCGGCGGGCTCGCGCGCCTCCCCGCGCGTCCCCGTCGCGTTGAAGCTCTCGGAGTCTGCGGGATCGACGGCGTCCCAGGGGTCCGCTGGGTCCCAAAGGTCCGAGGAGTCGGAGGGGTCGGAGAGGGACGGCGGCGGGACCCCCCCGGGCCCCGACACGACGAGGGGCACCGCGCGGAGGTGGCGGCCCGCGGCGCTGGAGGCCACGCACGTGTACGAGCCGCGGTCCCGCGCGGCGCGCGCCGACACGAGGAGGCAGCGAGCCGTCCCGCAGCACGCGGAGCCGGGGCCCGCGCTCTCGATCATCGTCATCATCATCATCATCACCCTCCTGCTCACCCCCCTTCCCATCCCCCTGCTTCCCCCCCTCCTCATCACCACCACCTCCTCTCTGCTCCCTAGTGTCTCCCTGTTCTCCATTCGCTATTGGCTCTCTCGTCCCCTCTTCCCCATCCTCTTCCTCCTTCTTCTCATCCTCCTCCTCCTTATCCTCCTCCTCCTCCCCGCCATTCCTCGCCCTGCTCTCCTGCCTCCCCCTTCTCCCCCTGCTCCCCCTGCCGTTCACCCCCCTCATCGTCCTCATCCCCCTCGTGCTCGTACCAGCGGCCCCGGGGTCCCTCCACGCGAGGCCTGGGGGGCGGGTCCCCTCTCGCGCTGCACGGGATGCGCACGGCGCCCCCCGCGCGCACCGCCACGGGCCCCGCGCGCAGCCTCACGCGCGGCGCCCTGCACCGCAGCGGGGCGCTCAGCAGCCCGCGCGCCCCGCGCCTCGGGGGGCGCCGCGCAGGGGGGGCCCTCGCCGCCCCCCAGCAGCGCCTCGGGACTCGGCCGGGTGCGCAGCCAGAGGAGGCGGCAGTCGCACGCGATGGGGTTGCCGTCGAGGCGCAGGGCACGCAGGGCGAGCGGGGCGCCGGCGCGCTCGGGCAGGGAGTCCAGGGCGTTCTCCGAGAGGTCGAGGTCGCGGAGCGCAGGGAGGCCGCGCAGGGCGCCCGGCTCCACGCGCCCGTAGCCCCGCGCCCGACAGCCGCAGCACGCGCAGGCGCGGGACCCCCCGCAGGCAGCGAGGTCCCAGCGCGCGCAGGGAGTTGCCCGACGCGTCCAGCTCGGACAGCGCGGGCAGCCGGGCGAGGGCGCCGCTCGGCAGGGCGCGCAGCCCCGCGCGGCGCAGCGACAGCGAGCGCAGGGCGCCCAGGCCTCGAAGGCGCCCTGTGACACCCACAGCAGCGAGTTCTCGGACAAATCGAGCTGCCCAGGGCGCCCAGACCCGAGAAGGCGCCGCGCGGCACGGCGCGCATGCGGTTGCCGCTCAGGTCCAGCCGCCGCAGGGCGCCGAGAGCCGCGAAGGCTCCGCTCGGGAGCACCGCGATGCGGTTACAGCGCAGCGACAGGGAGCGCAGGGCGCCCAGCCCCGCGAAGGAGCCCGGCTCCAGCGCGCCCAGCGCGTTCTCGCTCAGGTCTAGCTCCTCCAGGGCCGCCCAGGCCGCGAGGTCCCCGGCGCCCAGGCGCGCCACGTGGTTGCGCGACAGGTCCAGGGAGCGCGCCGACCCCGGCGCGGACCCGGGCACGGCGAGGAGGCGGCGGCGCGCGCACAGCACGGAGCCCCCCGAGGTCGGGGGGCAGTCGCAGCGCGGGGGGGCACTGCAGGGCGAGCGAGGTGCCCGCCAGCAGCAGCAGTAGCAGCAGCAGGGAGGTGCGTAGCGACGCCTACAGCAGCAGGCAGCAGGGGGGGGGGGGGGGACGCAGGGTCACTTCCAGGGGTCGGCAACCTGCGCCTCTTTGGCTTCCCCCCGTTTAACAACAACCCCAAAACAAAACTTTAACCTTAAACATCATTTAACGTCACGACAATTTATTAAATACGGCAGGGAATGTGTGGCTATGGAATGTATTGGTGACGACAAAATGTACAACAGTCAAACTGTACTGTTAAAGAATAACTAAATGCAGGATTTTTTTTAAATAGACGCACTTTATTCCATCACTATTTTGTTTATTTAAGTCATAATGTGTTGTTGTTGTTGTTGTCATCTTGCTGTTTACCCGCTGCTGTGTTTGTGTACAAGTAGCTCTGCCTGTGATGCGGTTCTCGAACTATTTGGGTCAAAGTCAAAAACCAAAGAAATATCTCTCCTGCGTCTTCTTCCTCTTCTCCTTTGGCTGCGTCCAAATGACGTGTGTGGGTTGAACTTCTTTCGCACCGTACGTAGCCAACCGCGCTAATCGGAGGTGCGGGGGAAGGACAACAAACTAACACACTAAAATAAAAAAGCAGTGCGGGTTGCAAGTCCATATTTATAATCCTGTTTGATTAATTATGGGATTAAGGGGCCGTCCATAAATGACGTCACGCGATTTCCCCCCCCCCCCAAAAAAATGCTTCAAATCGCTTTAAACTATAGTCATTGTAGTGCGTATTTAACGTGGCGCTGCACTCTGATGTTGTAGGAAAAAACATTTATTAAAAAGTATATTTAATTAAGTAGAACGTGTTGTCTAAATTTATTTAAAGTTGCGCATTTTGATGTGATGTCACATTTCTCAAACCCCTCCCCCCCCCCTCGTCACACGTCACAAATGTCTGACCCCCCCCCTAGGTGCGTGACGTCATTTATGGACGGCCCCTAATACAGAATACGATCATAGAGGAATGTGTATGAAGAGTCGTGCCCTATACTCCAGTGGTAGTGCCTTATGCCATAATCCCTTCTCCAAGTCAGCCTAGCAGGGTTCCGGAAAATATCGAGTCAGAAATGAATGCCTAAGCAAGTGAGGGATTGGGATGAGGAAGTGGGGTGATGGTGAAGGGGTGAGGGAGTGGGGAGTGGGGTGATGGTGAAGGGGTGAGGGAGTGGGGTGATGGTGAAGGGGTGAGGGGAGTGGGGTGATGGTGAAGGGGTGAGGGGAGTGGGGTGATGGTTGAAGGGGTGAGGAGTGGGGTGATGGTGAAGGGGTGAGTGGAGTGGGGGTGATGGTGGATGGGTGAGAAATTGAGATGTGGGCCTATTCATCTATTTTAATCTATAGATTTCTACGTATTATTTAATTTTCTCTGTGAATCTACAGGTCTTTCTGCGAGGTCTACGGGTATCTTTGTGAGTATATAGGTCTCTCTGAGTATATGGGGTTTTCTGTGAGGATATGGGTCTCTCTGTGAGTCTATGGGTCTCGTTGTGAGTCTATGGGTCTATCTGTGACTCTACAGGTCTCTCTGTGAGTATATGGGTCTCTCTGTGAGTATATGGGTCTCTCTGTGAGTATATGGGTCTCGTTGTGAGTCTATGGGTCTCTTTGTGAGTCTATAGGTCTCTCTGTGAGTGTTATAGGTCTCTCTGTGAGTATATGGGTCTCTCTGTGAGTATATGGGTCTCTCTGTGAGTCTGTGTTGAGCAGGTGTTTCTCACCTGCATCCAGCAGCAGCAGATCTGGGCCTTTGGAGCCTTGAGGGGGAGGGGGAGAGACGCCATCACTCCCCGCCTCCAGCTCTGGGAATCCGGGGGGGGGGAGGAGGTGGGGGGGAGGAGGAGGAGGTGGGAGGGAGGAGGAGGAGGTGGGGGGGAGGAGGAGGTGGGGGGGAGGAGGAGGTGGGGGGGGAGGAGGAGGTGGGGGGGAGGAGGAGGAGGTGGGGGTGAGGAGGGTAAGAGGGAGAAGGTGTAGGAATGGAGGAGGTAGTGGAGGGAAGAGGAATTGATGGAGAGTGAGAGAAGAGAGGAAGAGAGGGGGAGCAGGAGATGGGGGGGCGAGGAGGAGGAAGATGCGCGCCCCCTGCGCGCGCCGCGATGCCGGCAGTGACCTTGGTGGTGAAGGGGAGGGAAGCTTCGTCTGGGAGGTGAGGGGGCGGGGCCGTGAGGGAGGGGGGGGTAACGAGAGAGGTAACGGGAGAGAGATCACTGTAACGTCAGGGGGTAACGTCAGGGGTAACGGCTGTCGTGGAGGCGGAGGAGACGCCGGCTCTGACAGCGGCGACTGCCGTCTCCTGCAAATCTCCCTCCTCGCGTCTCTCCCTCGCGTCCTCCCGTCTCCCGCTGCGTTCTAACCCGAGTGAGTGTGGGGGCGGGGGGGGGGCTGAGTAGGATGCCCTGGGAGGAGCAGAGACGTTCACGCGTGCTCACCCACGCGCAGGTGAGCACGCGCAGGTGTCTGTGTGTGTGTGTCTGTGTGTCTGTGTGTGTGTGTCTGTGTGTCTGTGTGTGTGTCTGTGTGTGTTGTGTGTCTGTGGTGTCTGTGCGTGTGTCTGTGCGTGTCTGCGTTTCTGTGTGTCTGCGTGTGTCTGCGTGTGTCTGGTGTGCGCGCTAACAGAGGCAAAGATCCCCCGTGTAGCCTTAACAGACTGTAGGGGCAAGTGCTTTAGGGTAGCACCGATGACGGCCACCGCGGCACACGAGGGGGTGGGTGGCCAGCACCACGCCCGGCCCGCCTTTGTCTCCCCAGTGACGATGTTTACACACCGCACCAGGTACTCATTTGAGGCTGAGTCGACCTAGGGAAGGCCCAGGACCGGTTCAGATAATCGTCATTGGTGTTGGCCGTGAGCGGGAATCGAACTAGTGTCGCTGGGTTTGTAGCGCAGGGCGTCACACTACACTACACACACAGACACGGGTAGACACACACGGGTACACACACACACACGGGTACACACACAGACACACAGGTACACACACACACACAGGTACACACGCACATGGGTACACACACCTGGGTACACACACATGGGTAACACACACACAGACAGGGTAGACACCACATGGGTACACACACACACATGGGTACCACCAACACACACGGGTACACAAACGGGTACACACAACACAACGGGTTACACACACACCCGGGTACATACACACACGGGTACAAACACACACGGGTACACAAACGGGCACACACCACACACCGGGTACACACACACGGGTACACACACACACACAAGTACACACACATGGGTATACACAACATGGGTATACACACACAAACGGTCCACACACACAGACACGGGTACACAAACAACACGTGTACCACACCACGCGCACCTACGCAAGGTGGCAGTTGCCAGGCAAAGCGGTGACCCTCGGGACCCCGGTGCGAGAAAGTGCCGTGGGGGGGGTAGGTGGTAACGGGGGTGGTGGGCGGAGGGGGCTGTTAACAGGGTAAACGAGGTGAGGGTTATGGGGCGCAGAGGTAACAGGGTGGTTGGGTGAGGAGGGTAACGGGTGCGAGGAGGGTAACGGGGTGAGGAGGCCTAAGAGGCTTTCTCCTCATCATCATCCCATCTCCTCCTCCCCTCACCTCCTCCTCCCCTCACCTCCTCTCTCCCCTCACCTCCTCCTCCCCTCACCTCCTCTCTCTCCTCACCTCCTCCTCCCCTCCCTCACCTCCTCCACCCCTCACCTCCTCCCTTCCCCATCACCTCCTCTCTCCCCTCACCTCCTCCTCCCCTCACCTCCTCCTCCCCTCACCTCCTCCTCCCCTCACCTCCTCTCTCCCTTCACCTCCTCCTCTCCTCACCTCCTCTCTCTCTCCCCCCGTGTCTCTCGACCGATCCTAAAGACCGTGATCGGCACTAGCATCGTCATCAGTAGCAGCACCACGACCATCATCATCATCAGCAGATTTATAATCATAACATCACCACCAACGTCACCATCAGCAGCATTATAGCCATAACATCATCATCTGCACCATCATCATGATCATCATCAGCAGCATTATAACGACGACATCATCATCAGCACCATGAACATCAGCAGAATTCTAACCATGACATCATCAGCATCATCAGCAGCATTATAACGACCACATCATCATCAGCACCATGAACATCAGCAGAATTCTAACCATGACATCATCAGCATCATCAGCAGCATTATAACCACGACATCATCATCAGCAGCAGCATACGCACCGTCTACGTTCGGTAGTAGGCGGTCGTTAAAGAAACTGAGTTGCATGACTGTACAATAAACTGTCTGTTATTTATAACTTCACTTACAATTGACATCGTATAATCCCGTGTCTGTTTACATGTTCAAACAATAGTCACCAGAGACCTGCATTTTCCATTGACTTACACTGCCCATATATTAACATTGCACATAAACTAGCATTTTTCATAGACTAACACTGTCCATAGACTAACACTGCCCATAGACTAACACTGCCCATAGACTGACATTGCCCAGACTAACACTGCCCATAGACTGACATTGCCCAGAATAACATTGCCCAGACTAATATTGCCCATAGGCTAACATGTTGCCCAGACTAACTGCCCATAGACTAACACTGCCATAGGCTACATTGCCCATAGACTGACACTGCCTATGGACTAACATTTCCCAGACTAACATTGCCCATTTGACTAGTCCATAACCCTCTGTCTACACATTCGTACAATCGTCGCACTCGACAAATGGTGAATGTTTCTGTAACTTCATTTTGTAATTGTGCCGAGATCGGGTTAACATTCATCTATGGGAGCCGTCTCACGCTCCACGCAATTCGTTCTGTAACGTTGATTTACCTTTGTGCAGCATTCCCCCACATCTTGAGTTCACAACGGGTTAAAGAATAGACTGCTTGTAACTTGAACTCACCAACTCAACTTCAGTTTTCAGTTTCATTTATTTGTATAGCCCTGTGAGCCATTCGGCTCTTGAATCAACTCACCCACCCACTCAATTAACGGAGTCACTCTTGAAAATGAGACTCCTATCATGTCTCCACTTGAGTTCACACCCTGGTTCAACAATAAACTATGATAATTGTTTTTGTGTTGGTCCACACCCGAGACAGCTTTCCTTAGAGCCTAGTCTCACATGGGTTGGACCAGATGAGACTAGGCTCTAAGGAAAGCTGTCTCGGGTGTGGACCAATCAACTTCAAGGACAGTGCATACATTATCAGAGTTATGTTTTTTGTTTGCATTATGACTGCAGGTATTGTGGTCTATGTAAACATGACTCCTTGTAAAAAAAGTGTCAGTTTTGTTGCCAGATAGAAGAGTAAAAAAACAATTATCATATTTTACTGGCAAATGAGGTTCCAATGGAACAATAAACTACTTGAGCCTCATCAGGCAGGGCTTACGCCTGGAATTGAATCGGGGGCGGGGGGTAGTCGTCAGCACGGACGTCTGCGGGGGGATTTCGCCGTTCAGATCTGTACATGACGAGAACCTCCTTCAAGAAAGCCCGCAGGGTTTCGAGCAAGACTCGAAGTCGCGCGACAAGACCACGCAGCCTTTGCACGTTGGATGCAAAACCCCATCAACAGCTCCTGATAGCAAGTGCGTTGTAGTTGGACCTCTTGTTTGAGGTCGCCATCAACCTGTGACCGAATGGCAGCGGCAGGAGCAGCAGCAGCGATGCAGGGATCGAGAACTGTGGACCGGTTTCACCATAATTAGCAGCAGCATCATCAGCAGCAGCATCATCAGCAGCAGCATCAGCATGAGCAGCGCAAAATCGTCACCAACGCCCAGTAAGGGGCCATCCATTGAGTAGGTCGGCAAAAATCTGTCAAAACTTGACCTTTTTCCCCCTCCCTGTACGCACGCGGACTTTTTACACCCCTCCCCCAACTGCGTACGTACGCCTGACGCACCCCCCCCCCCCCGAATCTTATATAACGACCGATATTTAATCCACGCAGAAACGATCAAGGATTAATAATGTTAACGTGTTTAAGAAAACAGATAGTCCACCGCCGGACTATCTAACTCATTTGAAGGCTAATGTAGACAAATTATTATCGAGGCTTCACACCCCCCCCCCCCAGTTTCCTATGCGTACATTGTCAGTAGACCCCCATACGCAAGCGAACGTATTTGGGTTAACCCCCCCCCCCCCCTGCCCCCTCCATGCGTACGTACTAAATGGATGACCCCTAAACATGCAACGTTGGAGCAGCGTTGTCTAATGGTTCTAACGACAATGTCGCCGTTATTCGGCCGCATTCGCTCACAATGACCTGACACGAGAGGCCCAATTGCAATGCAGTTCTTTAGGAGCTGTTGATGTGTTTTTCTTCATAGCGCACAAATGTCGCACGTTTTTGAGTCTTGTCTTGAAACCATGGAATGACGTTCCAGACGACGGTCGAGGGGAAATGAAAATATCACGCAATGACAGACGGGTGCCACGGTGGCTAGGAGATGTTAACTACCTCGCCTGGTATGAAGGAGGTGGAGGGTTCGATCCCGACCCTGACGCCTGCTGCTGTATATTTGGGTTTTCCCTCACATTTAGAATCAACATTACGCGTTTAGATTATTTGACTGTTTTAAATGTCCGCGTGATAAACCACGCTTCGTTGAGCCGTCATTTGTGATAACCAGGTCGCTTCTGAAAAACAAGCTATATAGCTGAGTGGGCCTTACCTGGTAAAATAAAATAAAAATGTAGTTGAATTTCGGAAGAGGCATGGCATTGTATAGATCCACAAAAGGTTTAATTTCAGCTGGCGGTTCTGTCCGGGCTCTGCGAAAATGATCTATCAGAAGACCCGACACGATTATGTTCATTGTGAAAATCCAGGCCGGGCATTGTTAACCACGCCACAAAACATTCACCACACTCGCGCGTGCACAAAATACAACAAAAGACAAAGACCCCCGTGTAGCCTTAACAGACTGTTGGGGCAAGTGCTGTTAGCGAGCAGCACCTATGAAGGCCAGCACGGCACACGAGTGGGTGGGTGGCCAGCACCACGCCCGACCGCCTTTGTCTCCCCCAGTGGCGATGTTCACACACCGCATCAGGTACTCATCGACGAAGCGGAGAGGCCCAGGACCGGTTCAGATAATCGTCGCCGGTGTTGGCCGTGAATGGGAATCGGATTCGTAGCGCGGCGCGCTCCCCATTCGGCAGGCAGGCAGCCGAGTGGTGCAGTCAAGGGCCGGAGCGACCCCTGGTGGCGAGCGGCGAGGGCGCTGTCCTGGCGAGGCTGTAGCGGGGCGTCAATGTGTGTGCAGCGTCAATGTGTGTGTACGTGTATGTTGAACCTCTTTCGCACCGTACGTGGAGGTGTGGGGGGAGGGGCAACAAAAACGAAACACACTAAAAGCTGTTCTCAAGATATGCATTTGCGAATCTAGATCATGATAACGATGTAAAAGCGCATATCTCCCTGTGGCTTCCTCACATCGAAAGGAAGAGCGTTCCAGACGGCCGCTGAAGCGCATCCGAAAGCGCCGCGCGGTGCGGTGACCGCCGCCGTTGTTCGCTGCTGCTGCGTGTTCGTCTCCGTCGTCGTGTTTTACACTCAGCGCAGACACAGCAGCCCGTGTGGGACCCTGCCCCAGTTGAGTGAAGTCTCGGTTCTGTGACTTTCTGTTCAGTCGTGCTCAGTCGAGTAACACACTGCGTCTTACTTACCATTAACACGACTGTATGTACGTGCGTATGTATTTAACACGTAGGCTTTCGCGATCAATATTATTCATAATGTAGGTTTTTGGGTCAGATCGCGTTATGTATAAATGTGTCGTAACACTCCTTTGAAAACGTGACACATTTTTTACTGTTTGGCCGTGTCGGGTGGTGGAAGGTTACGACACATTTATAAATAACGCGATCCCACCCAAAAACCTATATTATGTGCGTATGTATGTTGGACTTCTTTCGCACCGTACGTAATAAGCGCTACTTACGAGTTTCGTGTCTGGATCCTGTCTGTACTCCTCGCCACCCCAACGATGACTCTGTTGTTGTTGTTATTGTTGTTGTTATTGTTGTTAGTGGCTGCCTGCGGGGTCGTTTGCCACGGAAGCTAGCTGGGTAACTGGCTACACGGGATTTTCTGTGCAACAAATACCGATTGAGTTGCGTTGAAACGTCGGAAGAAACATTTCGGAAGATATTTAACAATAATAATAATAACAATAGACAGACAGCGACACCAAAGAGGTGTGATTTTGTAGCGCTGGTGCAAGTGGTGATGATGACGGTGCTGGTTGTGGTAGTGATGCTGATCATGGTGGTAGTGGTGATGATGGTGGTGGTGCTAGTGGTGATGATGGTGGTTGTGATGATGATGGTGGCAGTGGTGATGATTGGGGTGGCTGTGATCATGGTGGTAGTGGTAATGGTGGTAGTGGTGATGGTGGTGATGATGGCGGTGCTGGTGGCAGTGGTGATGATGGTGGCTGTGCTCATGTTGGTAGTGGTGATGGTGGTGGCTGTGCTCATGTTGGTAGTGGTGATGGTGGTAATGATGGCGGTGCTGGTGGTAGGGGGCACGGAGGGTGGGGGGCCCTGAAGGAGTGGAGACGCTCGCTCAGGTAGTGTGGGAGTGCACGCTGGCTGGTGGGTGGGGAGGGGGGCAGAGCCCCCCACTGTCTGCATCACAAACCCCCACCTTGGACTCAGCCTACCCCCCTCGCGTAAATAATTCACGGAGGCACCAATCGATAGATGAGTGGCAAGGGGCTGAGAGTGTGCGTGTGTGGTCGAAATGGGTGCGCGCACGTGCGCGTGCGTGCGCGCGCGAGTGCGGAGCGGTGGCGCCAGCGATCAGCGCACTGCGCTACGAACCCAGTGACCCGAGTTCGATTCCCCGCGCACGGCCACCAACACCAGTGATGACGACGATGATGATCTGAACCCGTCATGGGCACCCCCCTAGGTCGACTCAGCCTTAAATGAGTACGCGGTGCGCTGTGTAAAACACCAGTAGTGGGGAGACAAAGGGGGTCGGGCGGGGTGCTGGCCACCCAACCACCGACTTAAGTGCCGTTCCGACCTTCATAGGTGCTCGTTTAACAGGACTTGCCCCCAACTGTCTGTTAACACTATACGGGGGATCTTTGTCTTTGTGCGCGAGTGCCGATCGGTGGCGATTCCCACTCACGGCCAACATGAGGAGCACGTGCTATCGCAACCTGACCTGGGCCTGTCCCATACCGAGACTCCAATGGAGCGGGGCAGGGCGATGCTGCTCTCGCCACCACCCCCTCGTGTGCCGTGCCGGCCTTCATAGGTGCTCGCTAACAGCACTTGCCCCAGCAGCCTGTGTAGGCTATACGGGGGATCTTTGTGTGCGCAGTAGTGTCGTGGTTAGCGCACTGCGCTACGAACCCGAGTTCGATTCACGCTCACGACCAACTCCATTGACGATTATCTGAACCGGTCCTCCCCTGGGTCGACTCAGCATCAAATGAAACTGGTGTGTAAACATCTTCATTCGAGAGACAAAGACGACCGGGCGTGGTGCCGGCCACCCACCCTCTCGTGTGTCGTACCGGCCTTCATAGGTGCTCGCTAACAGCACTTGCCCCAGCAGCCTTGTGTAGGTTATACGGGGGATCTTTGTCTGTGTGTGCATGAAGTAAATGGCTGTACCAGTGGAATTTTACTTTAGAACAAGGCTGATGGATTGTGCGGATGCGGTCAAGGGATGGCTTCCTATTGATCTATCACGTCTGGAAATATCTGCTCACTTTGAGAATGAGTTGGAGACACTATTGCTGACTCTGGACCGTGCTACCACCATAAGAGGTTGGGGCCTCACCATCAGCCCCACGCACACACACACAGCCCCTTGCCTGGGTACGTTGTGTCATCGAACACTCCACCCACTCATCCCTCCACGAGTCATTGCGGAGGGAGTGGAGGAGTTCCAATACCTAGGCCAGGGTCTCGGCAACCTGCAGGTCCGGAGTTGAATGCGGCTCTTCGAGGACCGCGCCGTGATGTTGTTATTGAGGATGCGTCGTCTCGTATTCGCCACACGGTGCACTGCGGCTCTTGAAATATCGAGGGTTGATTTTTTGTTTGTTACCGAATTCGAAAAAAAAAATGTTTTTTTTGGTTGCCGACCCTTGACCTCGTCAGCGTGCTCGTTACCAGCTCCAGTTTGGCAGCAGAGGTCTCGCTCCGAATTACCGTAGCGACATATTTTAATCGGCTGCGTGACGCTGTGCTAATGCTTCCTTGTTTCTCGCTCCACACGAATCCTCAGGTTCTTCCCAAACCAAAGTTATGCCCTCCCTTCTCTATGCTTGCAAAACTTGGACCCATTTATAGGAACATCTGCTGCGGGTTTGAAATATTCAAGCTGGCCCTGCCTACGATCCATGCTGGGTTGAACCAGACTGGATTACAGTGTGAGGAGCTCACAGATCCTTAAAGGCTCTGGACGCAGCCCCATCAGTGATCTCCTCCAGCAGGCAAGGCTGCGTTGGCTGGCTCAGCCACCGCATGGCCAAGCAGCTTCTGTTCAGCCGGATGGCAGAGGGGGCTAAACGGGCGTGGCACGGGCTCGAGAAGCGATGGGCTGATGCGGTCCGTGAGGATGTGGAGCTTATTGGTTTTGCCGGTGACTGGTACCAGCCGGTTGTCAAGATCGACCTCTGGACAGGAGGCTCGTGAAGGACGCTGCTGTTGGAGGCAGTCGCCCTCCAGCAACAACGGATGGCGGAGGAGTGACGCTCACAACAACGAGCTGAGCGCCGTGCGGATAAAACGCAGTGAGTTGGCACATTGGGGAAACACAGTTATATATGTATGTGTGTTTAACTTCTTTCACTCCGTACGTAGCAAACCGTGCTAATTGAGATGCGAGAGAAAGACAACAAACTGGACACAGTCATTCCAGTCAGCAGCGAGCCTTCCACACTTCACGTGGCTTCAAAGTGCACCTAGCCTGGTACAAGCCCATTGGAGACGTCATTTCGTGGCGACTGGTGGCTTTTGCGTGAGTGATTGTGGTGTGTGTGGGTGTTTGCGGTGGTGGCGGTGGTGGCCGTGGTATGACGGTGGTGAGTGGTGCGACTGGCGTGTGTGTTCGTGGTGAGTGGTAGTTGTGGTGTTGTGTGTGTGCACAAAACACACACAATACACACACAATACACACACACGCACATCCCAACACTCCCCACCCCCGCCATACACACACCCCAGACACACACCCCAGACGCACACCCAGACACACAAAGACAAGGTTCCCCCGTGAAGCCTTCACAGACTGTGGGGGCAATAAAGGCACGGCACATGATAGGGTGGGTGGCTAGCACCACGCCCGACCACCTTTGTATCCCGAGTGGCTACACCTACACATTGCAACAGGTACTCATTCGAGGCTGAGTTGACCTTGGGGAGGCCCAGAACCGGTTCAGATAAGATAATCATCACCGGTGTTGGTGGCCGTGAGCGAGAATCGAACTCAGGCCGCCGGGTTCGTAGCGCAACGTAGCGCTAACCACTGCACCACCGCTCCCCTCACACACAAAAGACAAAGATTCACCGTATAGCCTGGACAGACTGTTGGGGCAAGTGGTGTTAGCGAGCACCTCCCTTCACACGCACGCGCACACACACACGCACCCGTACAACCCAGGTCTCATCTCTGCACCTGCTCCCTCTCTCTGATGCTGCAGATGGTTCCCTCCCCCCTCCATCCCCTACCACCCCCTCCCCCCCTGTCTCTCACTCCCCCGTCATCACCCCCCCCCCGCTCCTCCTTTCACCCCCCCTCCCCCTCCTCTCCCAAATCCCCTCCGCGGACGCGTGGAGCTCATCTCGGGGCGGAGCCGCTCATCCCGTGGTGGGGGGTCAGAGGGGAGGGGGGAGAGTCGGGATTGGGGGGACGAGGGGGAGGGGAGTCAGGATTGGGGGGGGCAGTGGGGGGGGGGGCTGTGGGGGGAGCTGCACCGTGCAGCCGCTGCCGTCACTCGAATGCGGCTCCACTCTCCGCGATCTCATCTCCACCTCCTCATAACAATCCTCCTCGCCATCTCCTCCTATCCTCTCTCCCCTCATCTCCCCCCCATCTCCCCTCATCTCCCCCCATCTCCCCCCATCTCCCCTCATCTCCCCTCATCTCCTCTCTCCCCGCATCTGTCGACGCTCCGTGTCTGCGACTTCGCGAGCCCAGGTGAATCGGTGGGAACCGGGAGCCTGCGTCTGCCTCCTTGTGTCTTGAGCTCTCCGTGTCTCTGTCTCCCCCTGTGTCTCTGTCTCGTGTCTGTCTCTCTGTCCTGTCTCCCTGCCTCTCCCCTGTCTCTCTGTCTCGTGTCTGTCTCTCTGTCTCTCCGTGTCTGTCTCTCTGTGTCACTGCCTCCCTGTGTCTTGAGCTCTCCGTGTCTCTGTCTTCCCGTCTCTCTGTCCCGTGTCTGTCTCTCTGTCCTGTCTCCCTGTGTCTCTCCCCTGTCTCTCCCCTGTCTCTCTGTCTCGTGTCTGTCTCTCTGTCTCTCCGTGTCTGTCTCTCTGTGTCACTGCCTCCCTGTGCCTTGAGCTCCTCGTGTCTCTGTCTCTCTGTCTCTCCCCTGTCTCTCTGTCTCGTGTCTGTCTCCCTGTGTCTCTCCCCTGTTTCTCTGTCTCGTGTCTGTCTCCTTTTGTCTATCCCCTGTCTCTCCCCTGTCTCCCTGTGTCTATCCCTGTTTCTCTGTCTCGTGTCTGTTTCTCCGTGTCACTGTCTCCCTGTGTCTATGTGCCGTATCCCTGTCTCCCTGTCCCGTGCCTCTGACTCTGTGTCTCTGTCTCTCCAATGTCTCTGTCTCTCCAATGTCTCTCGTCTCGTCGTCTCTGGCGCTCCTCAAGTGTCGGCATTGTTTCGACACTCACCCCTTCCTCACCCTCTCATCATTCAACCCCTAAACCCTCACCCGTCACTCACCCTCTCAGCATCCTCCCCTTCCATCACCCCTCACCTCGTCACCCTCTCAGCATTCTCCCCTTCCATCACCCCTCACCTCGTCACCCTCTTAACATTCACTCACTCCCTCACCCTCTCAAATTCCACCCCCTTCACTCACCCCTCACCCTTTCAACATTCACCCTTTCACTCACCCTCACCCCCTCACCCTATCAACATTCACCCTCCCCTCACCCCTCACCCCTTCCCTCACCGCTCACCCCATAGTCGATAAGTAATTTCACAGAGCAAACAGCGGGAGGCGCCCAAGGCGAGGCTGGAATGCTGATGCCCCAGTGGTCGATGTGCGCGTGGTGATGTTGGGTGATGTTGGGTGATGTTTCTGTGTTGATGTTGGGGTGATGTTGATGTCCCAGTGGCCGATGTGCGCGTGGTGATGTTGGGTGATGTTTCTGTGTTGATGTTGGGGTGATGTTGATGTCCCAGTGGCCCATGTGCGGATGTGCGCGTGGCGATGTTGGGTGATGTTGAGGTGATGTTTATGTGTTGATGTTGAGGTGATGTTGGTATATCAGTGGTCGATGTGCGCGTGGTGATGTTGGGTGATGTTGGGTGATGTTTCTGTGTTCATGTTGAGGTGATGTTGATGTCCCAGTGGTCGATGTGCCTATCTGTGTGTGTGTTGATGTTGGGGGATGTTGATGTGGCGATGTTGTGATGGTGATAATGTACTGATGTGTGGTAATGTCAGGGGATATTATGGTGATGTGATGCTGTTTGTGCGGTCGTGATGTTGTGTTGATGTTGTGTTGATGTTGTACGTGGTGATATTCGCGAATGTTGTGATGATGTTGCAGTGACGTCTGCATGGTAATGAGGTGTGTGTGTGTTGTGGTAATGCTGTGTTGATGTTAACGATGTTGATGGTGTGGGGGCGGTGATGTTGGTCAGCATGGCGGCCCCTTCTCTCTGCCTGCTGGTGCTGCTGCTCGCCGTCTCCCGCGCTCTCCACGCGTTCCCTGCCGACGTCGACCCCATCACCATCACTGTCGGCAGAGGTGAGGCATGCTCACCCCATCTCACCCCTCGCCTCACTCACTCACCCCGCCCCTCACTCACCCCGAGCCTCACTCACCCAGAGCCTCACTCACTCACACCGCGCCTCACTCACCCGAGCCCCACTCACCCAGAGCCTCACTCACCCAGAGCCTCACTCACCCCGCCCCTCACTCACCCCGCCCCTCACTCACCCAGAGCCTCACTCACCCCGCCCCTCACTCACCCAGAGCCTCACTCACCCCGCCCCTCACTCACCCCGCCCCTCACTCACCCAGAGCCTCACTCACCCCGAGCCTCACTCACCCCGCCCCTCACTCACCCCGCCCCTCACTCACCCCGAGCCTCACTCACTCACCCCGCCCCTCACTCACCCCGCCCCTCACTCACCCCGAGCCTCACTCACCCAGAGCCTCACTCACCCCGCCCCTCACTCACCCCGCCCCTCACTCACCCAGAGCCTCACTCACCCCGCCCCTCACTCACCCCGAGCCTCACTCACCCCGAGCCACACTCACTCACCCCGCCCCTCACTCACCCCGAGCCCCACTCACCCAAAGCCTCACTCACCCCGCCCCTCACTCACCCCGCCCCTCACTCACCCCGAGCCTCACTCACCCCGAGGAGCCTCACTCACTCAGCTTTCGCACAGAGCCACAGAGTGAAACCACACATGAGTGGCGGGACGGCAGCAGCCAGAACCGGCGCGCGCTACTAACAATTGCCCGCGCTCTGCGGTCCTGTATTGGGATGTTTCGACCCCAACTATTTCATGAATGGAATTGTGCACATTTCCAGGGGCGATGCTGGGATCTGAAAGCACGCCCGGGTCTCCGTGCCGCTCCGCAAACGGTCGCGTCAGCGGTTCCCAAATTGGCACGCGGGTGGTGTCCCAACTTAGCCTGACCCCGGCTGACCCCCGGGGTACGCGCGCACGCACGCGCGCGCGTGTGGTGTGTGTCGCAGACACAAAAGCGTCGCAGGGGGAGCGGTGGCGCAGTGGTCGGCACGCTGGGCTACGAACCCGGCCACTCGAGTTCGATTCCCGCTCACCAACACCGGTGACGATTCTTTGAATCGGTTCTGGGCCTCGCCTAGGTGGACTCGGCCTCAAATCGGTTACACGGTGCTATGTGTGAACATCGCCGATGGGGAGACAAAGGCGTGGTGTTGGCCACCCACCCCCTCGTGTGCCGTGCCGGCCTTCATAGGCGCTGCTTGCTAACAGCACTTGCCCCAACAGGCTGTTGCAGGCTATACGGGGGATCTTTGCATTTTGTAGCAGACGCAGGAGCGTCGGTAGGGGAGCGGTGGCGCAGTGGTTAGCGCACTGCGCAGAGAATGATCACGCACGTCAGTGACGAATATTTGAACCGGTTCCTGGACCCTCCTCTAGGGCGACTCAGCCATTAATGAGTACAAGGTGTGGTGTGTACACATCACGACTGGGGAGACAAAGGCGGCCGGGCGTGGCGCTGGCAACACCGCCCCGATTCTCGCGTTGTGTTTGGCCAATCATGGGCGCTCGCTGACTGCACTTGCCCCAACAGTCTGTGGAGGCTTTCACGGGGGATCTTTGTCTGTGTCACAGACAGCGAGAGTCTCCCCGTGTTCCTGGGAGAGGACGACTCCACCAACAGCAGCCTCAACGTCCAGCTGCTGCTCCTGATCGGAGCACGCCTGCTCATAGCAGGGCGGTATGGCCTCACACAGGCACCGCTCACTTCACAGGCACCACCCACTTCACACAGGCACCACCCACTTCACACAGACACCACCCACTTCACACAGGCACCGCCCACTTCACACAGGCACCACCCACTTCACACAGGCACCACCCACTTCACACAGGCACCACCTACTTCACACAGGCACCGCCCACTTCACACAGGCACCACCCACTTCACACAGGCGCCACCCACTTCACACAGACACACCCACTTCACACAGGCACCACCCACTTCACACAGGCACCCACCTACTTCACACAGGCACCGCCCACTTCACACAGGCACCACCCACTTCACACAGGCACCACCCACTTCACACAGGCACCACCCACTTCACACAGGCACGCCCACTTCACACAGGCACCACCCACTTCACACAGGCACCACCCACTTCACACAGGCACCACCTACTTCACACAGGCACCGCCCACTTCACACATGCACCACCCACTTCACACAGGCACCACCCACTTCACACAGGCACCACCCACTTCACACAGGCACCACCCATTTCACACAGGCACCACCCACTTCACACAGGCACCGCCCACTTCACATACACCACCCACTTCACACAGGCACCACCCACTTCACACAGGCACCACCCACTTCACACAGGCACCGCCCACTTCACACAGGCACCACCCACTTCACACAGGCACCACCCACTTCACACAGGCACCGCCCACTTCACACAGACACCGCCCACTTCACACAGGCACCACCCACTTCACACAGGCACCACCCACTTCACACAGGCACCACCCACTTCACACAGGCACCACCCACTTCACACAGGCACCACCCACTTCACACAGGCACCACCCACTTCACACGAGCACCTCCCACTTCACACAGGCACCACCCACTTCACCACAGGCACCACCCACTTCACACGAGCACCTCCCAATTCACACAGGCACCACCCAATCACACAGACACCGCCCACTTCACACAGGCACCACCCACTACTCACACGCACCTCCCACTTCACACAGGCACCGCCCACTTCACACAGGCACCACCCACTTCACACAGGCACCACCCACTTCACACAGGCACCGCCCACTTCACACAGACACCGCCCACTTCACACAGGCACCACCCACTTCACACAGGCACCACCCACTTCACACAGGCACCGCCCACTTCACACAGGCACCACCCACTTCATACAGACACCGCCCCACTTCACACAGGCACCGCCCACTTCACACAGGCACCACCCACTTCATACAGACACCGCCCACTTCACACAGGCACCGCCCACTTCACACAGGCACCACCCACTTCACACAGGCACCGCCCACTTCACACAGGCACCACCCACTTCACACAGGCACCGCCCACTTCACACAGGCACCGCCCACTTCACACAGACACCATCCACTTCACACAGACACCACCCACTTCACACAGGCACCGCCCACTTCACACAGGCACCGCCCACTTCACACAGGCGTCACCCGGCACTCACGCGAATGTCTCTGCTCCTCACAGGGACCACGTGTTCACTGTGGATCTTGAGCCGCCCCGTGCATGGCGCCATCACCCACAGCGCGGTGAGCTGCAGTGAGGGGTGTGGGGTCACGGTGGTGAGTGGGTGTGGGGCACGGCGGGTGAGGGGTGTGGGTCACGGGTGAGGGGAGTGGGGTCACGGGTGAGGGGAGTGGGGTCACGGTGAGGGGTGTGGGGTCGGTGGTGAGGGGTTGTGTGGTCTTCGGTGAGGGGTGTTGGGGTCGGCGGTGAGGGGCTGTGGGGTCGGCGGGTTGAGGGGTGTGGGGTCGGCGGTGAGGGGTGTGTGGGTCGGCGGTGAGGGGTGTGGGGTCGGTGCGGTGATGGGGTCACGGCGGTGATGCGAGCGTCAGGGGCGAGGTGGTGCAATGGAGAGCGGTGGCGCAGCGGTTAGCGCACTGGCGCTACGGAAAACGGCGGCCCGAGTTCGATTCCCCGCTCACGACCAATAACTGTGGCGATATTTGAACCGGTCCTGCCGGGACCTCCCCTAGGTCGACTCAGCCTTGAATGAGTGCAGTAGCTGGTGTGTGTAAATATTAGCACTGGGGAGACAAAGGCGGTCGGGCGTGGTGATGGCCACATCACCGCCTCGTGTGGCAATTGCCCCAACAGCCTGTCCAGGGAATGTTTGTGGGAGTGGGGGGGGAGGGGGGGAGGGGGGGAGGGGGGGTGAGGGTGTGTGATGGGTGATGGTGTGATGGTGTGATGGTGTGATGGTGTGATGGTGTGATGGTGTGAGAGTGAGAGGTGAGGGTGTGAGAGTGAGAGGTGAGGGTGAGGGTGTGATGGTGTGATGGTGTGAGGGTGTGATGGTGTGAGGGTGTGATGGTGTGATGGTGTGATGGTGTGAGTGAGAGGTGAGGGTGTGAGAGTGAGAGGTGAGGGTGAGGGTGTGATGGTGTGATGGTGTGATGGTGTGATGGTGTGATGGTGTGATGGTGTGAGGGTGAGAGGTGAGGGTGAGGGTGTGATGGTGTGATGGTGTGATGGTGTTGAGGGTGTGATGGTGTGATGGTGTGATGGTGTGATGGTGTGATGGTGTGAGAGTGAGAGGTGAGGGTGTGAGAGGGAGAGGTGAGGGTGAGGGTGTGATGGTGTGATGGTGTGATGGTGTGATGGGTGTGATGGTGTGAGGGTGAGAGGTGAGGGTGAGGGTTGTGATGGTGTGATGGTGTGATGGTGTGAGGGTGTGATGGTGTGATGGTGTGATGGTGTGATGGTGTGATGGTGTGATGGTGTGAGAGTGAGAGGTGAGGGTGTGAGAGTGAGAGGTGAGGGTGAGGGTGTGATGGTTTGTGATGGTGTGATGGTGTGATGGTGTGAGGGTGAGAGGTGAGGGTGAGGGTGTGATGGTGTGATGGTGTGATGGTGTGAGGGTGTGATGGTGTGAGGGTGTGATGGTGTGATGGTGTGATGGGTGTGATGGTGTGAGAGTGAGAGGTGAGGGTGATGGTGTGATGGTGTGATGGTGTGATGGTGTGATGGTGTGATGGTGTGAGGGTGAGAGGTGAGGGTGAGGGTGTGATGGTGTGAGGGTGTGATGGGTGAGGGTGAGGGTGTGATGGTGTGAGGGTGTGATGGTGTGAGGGTGAGGGTGTGACGGTGTGAGGGTGTGATGGTGTGAGGGTGAGGGTGTGATGGTGTGAGGGTGATGGTGTGATGGTGTGAGAGTGAGAGGTGAGGGTGTGATGTGTGATGGTGTGATGTGTGGTGATGGTGTGATGGTGAGGGTGTGATGGTGTGATGGTGAGGGGTGTGATGGTGTGATGGTGTGATGGTGTGAGGGTGAGGGTGTGATGGTGTGAGGGTGTGATGGTGTGAGGGTGAGAGAGTGAGAGGAGAGGGTGAGGGTGTGATGGTGTGAGGGTGTGATGGTGTGAGGGTGATGGTGTGAGGGTGAGAGAGTGAGAGGTGAGGGTGAGGGTGTGATGGTGTGAGGGTGTGATGGTGTGAGGGTGTGATGGTGTGAGGGTGTGATGGTGTGAGGGTGAGGGTGTGATGGTGTGAGAGTGAGAGGTGAGGGTGAGGGTGTGATGGTGTGAGGGTGTGATGGTGTGAGGGTGTGATGGTGTGAGGGTGTGATGGTGTGAGGGTGAGGGTGTGACGGTGTGAGGGTGTGATGGTGTGAGGGTGAGGGTGTGATGGTGTGAGGGTGTGATGGTGTGATGGTGTGATGGTGTGAGAGTGAGAGGTGAGGGTGTGATGGTGTGATGGTGTGATGGTGTGATGGTGTGATGTGTGATGGTGGGGTGTGATGGTGTGATGGTGAGGGTGTGATGGTGATGGTGTGATGGTGTGAGGGTGAGGGTGTGATGGTGTGAGGGTGTGATGGTGTGAGGGTGAGAGAGAGTGAGAGGTGAGGGTGGGGGTGTGATGGTGTGAGGGTGTGATGGTGTGAGGGTGTGATGGTGTGAGGGTGAGAGAGTGAGGTGAGGGTGAGGGTGTGATGGTGTGAGGGTGTGATGGTGTGAGGGTGTGTGATGGTGTGAGGGGTGATGGTGGTGAGGGTGAGGGTGTGATGGTGTGAGAGTGAGAGGTGAGGGTGAGGGTGTGATGGTGTGAGAGTGGAGAGGTGATCGGGTGAGGGTGTGATGGTGTGATGGTGTGATGGTGTGATGGTGTGATGGTGTGATGGTGTGATGGTGAGGGTGTGATGGTGTGATGGTGAGGGTGTGATGGTGTGATGGATGTGATGGTTCGGTGTGATGGTGTTATGGTGTGAGGGTGAGGGTGTGATGGTGTGAGGGTGTTGATTGGTGTGAGTGGTGAGAGAGTGAGACGGTGAGAGTGAGGGTTGTGATGGTGTGAGGGTGTGATGGTGTGAGGGTGTGAGGTGTGTGTGAGTGTGAGAGATGGAGAGGTGAGGGTGAGGGTGTTGATGGTGTGAGGGTGTGGATGGTGTGAGGGTGTGCTGGTGTGAGGGTGTGTGATGGTGTGAGGGTGAGGGGTGATATGGGGATGAGAGTGAGATGTGCGAGGGTGAGGGTTGTGATGGTGTGCGAGGTGAGGGTGGATGGGTGATGTTGTGATGGTGTGAGAGGTGAGGGTGATGGTGTGATGGTGTGATGTGTGTGATGGTGTGATGGTGTGATGGTTGTGATGGGAGTTTGATAGGTGTGATGGTGATGGGTTGATGGTTGTGATGGTTGTGTGATGGTGTCGAGGGTGAGAGAGTTGGTCAAATTGTGATGGGTGACGGGTATGTGATGGTGTGCGGGTGTAGATGATTGAGCGTGTGAGGGTGTGGGCTGGTGTGATGGTGTGAGAGAGTTGATGGTGTTGAGGGTGTGATGGTCTTTTGTGAGAGTTGAGGAGTTGCAGGGTGTGAGGGTGTTGATGGTTTGAGAGTGCGAAGGTCGAGGGTTTTGAGGGTGTGATGGCTGTGGAGAGTGGAGAGGTCTGAGGGTGAGGGTGTGATGGTTTGAGAGTGAGGAGGCTGGAGGGTGAGGGTTGTGATGGATGTTTGAGAGTGCGAGGTGAGGGTGAGGGTGTGATGGTGTGAGAGTGAGAGGTGAGGGTGAGGGTGTGATGGTGTGAGAGTGAGAGGTGAGGGTGAGGGTGTGATGGTGTGAGAGTGAGAGGTGAGGGTGTGATGGTGTGAGGTGAGAGGTGAGGGTGAGGGTGTGATGGTGTGAGAGTGAGAGGTGAGGGTGAGGTGTGTGATGGTGTGAGAGTGAGAGGTGAGGGTGAGGGTGTGATGGTGTGAGAGTGAGAGGTGAGGGTGAGGGTGTGATGGTGTGAGAGTGAGAGGTGAGGGTGAGGGTGTGATGGTGTGAGAGTGAGAGGTGAGGGTGAGGGTGTGATGGTGTGAGAGTGAGAGGTGAGGGTGAGGGTGTGATGGTGTGAGAGTGAGAGGTGAGGGTGAGGGTGTGATGGTGTGAGAGTGAGAGGTGAGGGTGAGGGTGTGATGGTGTGAGAGTGAGAGGTGAGGGTGAGGGTGTGTGATGGTGTGAGAGAGTGAAGGTGAGGGTGAGGGTGTGATGGTGTGAGAGTGAGAGGTGAGGGTGAGGGTGTGATGGTGTGAGAGTGAGAGGTGAGGGTGTTGATGGTGTGATGGTGTGATGGTGTGAGTGAGGGGTGATGGTGTGAGAGTGAGAGGTGAGGGTGTGATGGTGTGAGAGTGAGAGGTGAGGGTGAGGGTGTGATGGTGATGGTGTGAGGGTGTGAGGGTGAGGGTGTGATGGTGTGATGGTGTGATGGTGTGAGAGTGAGAGGTGAGGGTGAGGGTGTGTGATGTGTGAGAGTGAGAGGTGAGGGTGAGTGTGTGATGGTGTGAGGGTGAGGGTGTGATGGTGTGAGGTGAGGGTGAGGGTGTGATGGTGTGAGAGTGAGAGGTGAGGGTGAGGGTGTGATGGTGTGAGAGTGAGAGGTGAGTGTGTGATGGTGTGAGGTGGGGTGTGATGGTGTGAGGTGAGGGTGTGATGTGGTGTGATGGTGTGAGAGTGAGAGGTGAGGGTGAGGGTGTGATGGTGTGAGGGTGAGGGTGTGATGGTGTGAGAGTGAGGGTGTGATGGTGTGATGGTGTGAGAGTGAGAGGTGAGGGTGAGGGTGTGATGGTGTGAGGGTGAGGGTGTGATGGTGTGAGAGTGAGGGTGTGATGGTGTGATGGTGTGAGAGTGAGAGGTGAGGGTGTGATGGTGTGAGAGTGAGAGGTGAGGGTGAGGGTGTGATGGTGTGAGGGTGAGGGTGTGATGGTGTGAGAGTGAGGGTGTGATGGTGTGATGGTGTGAGAGTGAGAGGTGAGGGTGGGGTGTGATGGTGTGAGAGTGAGAGGTGAGGGTGTGATGGTGTGAGGGTGAGGGTGTGATGGTGTGAGAGTGAGGGTGTGATGGTGTGATGGTGTGAGTGAGAGGTGAGGGTGAGGGTGTGATGGTGTGAGGGTGAGGGTGTGATGGTGTGAGAGTGAGGGTGTGATGGTGTGATGGTGTGAGAGTGAGAGGTGAGGGTGAGGGTGTGATGGTGTGAGGTGAGGGTGTGATGGTGTGAGAGTGAGGGTGTGATGGTGTGATGGTGTGAGAGTGAGAGGTGAGGGTGAGGGTGTGATGGTGTGAGAGTGAGAGGTGAGGGTGAGGGTGTGATGGTGTGAGGGTGAGGGTGTGATGGTGTGAGAGTGAGGGTTGATGGTGTGATGGTGTGATGGTGTGAGAGTGAGAGGTGAGGGGAGGGTGTGATGGTGTGAGAGTGAGGGTGTGATGGTGTGAGAGTGAGGGTGTTGATGGTGTGAGAGTGAGGGTGTTGATGGTGTGATGGTGTGATGGTGTGAGAGTGAGAGGTGAGGGTGAGTGTGATGGTGTGAGAGTGAGGGTGTTGATGGTGTGAGGTGAGGGTGAGGGTGAGTGTGTGATGGTGTGAGAGTGAGGGTGTGATGGTGTGAGAGTGAGGGTGTTGATGGTGTGATGGTGTGAGAGTGAGAGGTGAGGGTGGTGTGTGATGGTGTGAGAGTGAGGGTGTTGATGGTGTGATGGTGTGAGAGTGAGAGGTGAGGTGAGGGTGTGTGATGGTGTGAGAGTGAGGGTGTGATGGTGTGATGGTGTGAGAGTGAGAGGTGAGGGTGTTGATGGTGTGATGGTGGAGAGTGATGGTGTGAGAGTGATGGTGTGAGAGTGAGGAGTGAGGGTGTTGATGGTGTGATGGTGTGAGAGTGAGAGGTCAGGGTGTTGATGGTGTGAGAGTGATGGTGTGATGTGTGAGAGTGAGGGGTTGATGGTGTGAGAGTGTGAGGGGTGAGGGTGAGTGTGTTGATGGTGTGATGGTGTGAGAGTGAGGAGTGAGGGTGTTGATGGTGTGATGGTGTGACTTGTGAGAGTGAGATGAGTGAGGAGCGTGGGGTGAGGAGCGTGATGGGTGAAGAGCGTGATGGGTGAGGAGTGTTTTTTTTATCGCAGAAGCTGACGTGGATGGCGGAGCGCCAGGAGGTGGACCGGTGTCTCATGAACGGCAAGACGGAGGTGAGGCCAGACGGCCACGAGGGCCCCTCTCTCACGGCTCAGGAGTCGCCAACCTGCGGCTCTTGAACACCCACTTCGTGACGCTCTTCATCAACATTCACCACCGTCTCGCATTCACCACGCAGTGCATTGCGGCTCGAGGAGTATTGAGGGTTTATTTTGTACCGAGTTTTGGTTGCCAACCCCTGGTCGTCACGGTGGATAGATGTTAACCCCCTCGCCTGGTACACAGGAGGTCGTGGGTTCGATCCCGACCCGGACACCTGCTGCTGTATATTTGGAGCTTGCGTGTCTCTCTCTCTCAACATCACGGTGGCTAGGAGATGTTAACTACCTCGCTGGTCTACAGGAGGGTCGTGGGTTCGATCCCAACCCCGACACCTGCTGCTGTATATTTGGAGTTTGCGTCTCTATCATCATCATCACGGTGGCTAGATGTTAACTACCTCGCTTGGTCTACAGGAGGTCGGGTTCGATCCCAACCCTGACACCTGCTGCTGTATATTTGGAGTTTGCGTGTCTCTCTTCCCGTGGTCGCGTGAATTTTTCTCCAGGTCCTCCGGTTTTTCCCCTCCACATTTAGAATCAACATCACGCGTTTAGAGCATTTCGCCGCTATAAATGTCCACGTGACAAGCCAATTCGTTGAGCTGTCACTTGCGATAGCCAGGTCGCTTCTTGAAAAGAGCGCTACGTAGCTCAGTGGGACCTTACCTGGGAAAATATTATTTTTAAAAAAAAACCAAATAGTCCGTATGAGCTCCCTCTTCGTCATAGCGCAGCGCGATCCTCGGGAAGGAAGTCGCTGCCGTGCATCACAGACACAGCCTGAGGTGCGTTCACAGCAGGGGGCGATGGCTGCTGTGTGATCTCGCCTAGGAGCACCCCCAGTGGCAGCAGTCCCTGTGTATTAGTCTGTCAGTTGAGTAACTCGCGCGGTGCTAACTTGTTGACATGTTGGCGACAGAAAAATTGGACCACGAATCCGGCGCACGTCGTTGGCCTACTCGTGCGAATGACGTCACGGGAATCTTTAACCGCCACGTGAATATCAGCCGCAGCATTGACCGGGGCGGCCGCCGGGCTCGCACCGCGAGCGTCTGCGAACGCGCGGTGAACGATGGGGCCGCCCCTGGGCCACCGCCCTTCGTGGCCGTTGGCAACGCGGGTGACACCGGCGTCACTCGGGTGACACCGGCGTCACGGGTGACACCGGCGTCACTCGGGGGAGACGATGAACCCAGCAGAGGCCCGAGTTCTATTCCCGCTCACGGCCGCCCACACCGGTGACGATTATCTGAACCTGTGCTGGGCATCCCCAATGTCGGCTCAGCCTTAAACGAGTACTTAGTGTGGTGTGTAAAAAGACAAAGGTGGCCGAGCATGGTGCTGGCCACCGCCCCCTCGTGTGCCTTGCCGGCTTTCACAGGTGCTGGCTAAACAGCCCTTGCCCCCAAAAGTCTGTGGAGGCTGTACGGGGGATGTTTGTCTTCACCGCAGGAGGAGTGTCACAACTTCATCAAGGTGGTTGCGCCACGAGGAGACGGACTCCTCTTTGTGTGCGGCACCAACGCATACAGCCCCACGTGCAGGAACTACCAGGTACTGCTGCCTGGGTCACACACACAGCAGTGACATACTCTCAGTGTCACCCACAGCAGTGTCACACACACACAGCAGTGTCACGCACAGCAGTGCACACACGGAGTGTCAGACACACAGCAGTGTCACGCAGTGTCTATTCTAGTGCCCCTGCGTGTGCGTGTGTGCGTTCGCGCGTGTGTGTGTGCGTGCGTGTGCGCGTGTGTGTCCGTGCGTGTCCGTGCATGTGTGTGCGCGTGTGTGTGCGCGTGTGTGTGTGTACGGTGTGTGCGTGTGTGTGTTGTGCGTACGTGTGTGTGCGTGTGCGTGTGTGCACGTGTGTGCGTGCACGTGTGTGTGTGCGTGTGTGCGCGTGTGTGTGTGCGCGTGTGTGTACGTGTGTGTGGTACGTGTGTGTGTGGTGTACGTGTGTGTACGTGTGTGTGTGCGTGGACAGCTGGCGGACCTGTCCTTCACTGTGGGGAGCAAACGAGTGGCCTCGCCAAGTGTCCCTTCGACCCCCGGCAGGGAGGGCGGCTGCCTTCGCAGGTCCGTGGGGTCGCAGCGACACGCCAGACACAGTGTGTTTGTGTGTGTGTACGTGTGCGGACGTGTGTACGTGCGGACGTGCGTGGGGGAGCGGTGGCAAAGTGGTGAGTGCACTGCGCGACTAGCCCGGCCACCCGAGTGCCATTCCGCTCACGGCCACCACACAGCGGTGGCGATTATCCGAACCGGTCCCGAGCCTCCCCTAGGTCGACTCAGCCTCAAATTAGCGCTTGGTACGGCGCTGGGGAGACAAAGGCGGCCGGGCGTGGTGTTTGCCACATCGTGGGTGCCGCTCGCCAACGGGCACTTGCCCCCCACGACAGGCGCGCTAGCTGGGGGACCTTTATCTGTGCGTGCAGGCGAGCGTCTCTACTCGGCCACGGCCGTGGACCCCCTGGGGGTGGACGCGGTGGTCTACGGGAGCCTGGCCCGGCCCCCCCTGCGCTCCCTCAAACTCGATCCAAGTGGTCTCAAGGGTACTGACCCCCCCCCCAACTGACCCCCCCCCTCACACCCCCCCCCCCCCCCCCCCCCCCCCACCCCCCTCACCCACCCACCCCCCCCCCCCCCCCCCCCCCCCCCCCCCCCCCCCCCACCCCCCCCACACTGACCCCCACCCACCCGCCTCACCCCCCCCCCTCACCAACCCCCCTCACTGACCCCTCACCCACCCTGCCCTCACCAACCCTCACCGACCCCCCCCCATCACCGACCCTCCCACCCTCACCAACCCCCCCCCTCACTAACCCCCCGCCCTCACTAACCCCCCTCCCTCACCGACCCCCCCCCCCCACCCTCACCGCCCGGCCCCCCCTGTGACGTGACACGACCTGCTCGTGTCAGGTCGTGTCACATCACGAGTACTGTGTCAAGGCAGGTGTGTGTGCGTGTCTGAGGTTGTGTTGTGTGTCACGCGTGTCGTGAGTCAACCGTGTGGTACGTCACGCGTGTCTTGTGTGTGGTACGTCACGCGTGTCTTGTGTGTGGTGCGTCACGCGTGTGCCGTGCGGTGCACAGAGCCCGTGTTCGTGAGGGTGCTGGAGCACGGGCAGCATGTCTACTTCTTCTTCACGGAGATCGCCGTTGAGCTCAGCTCCATGGGCAAGGTGACGCGCCCTTCACTCACACACACACGACACACATGGGCCTTCACTCACACACCGACACACACCGGCCTTCACTCACTCACTCACACACACACCAACACACCGGCTTTCATCATGGGTTCCTTCACTTGTGTAGGCGTGCTGACACAGGTGCGTCGCTGCCACCCCCCCCCCCCCCCCCAGGTGCTGTTCTCGCGCGTGGCGCGCGTCTGCAAGAGCGACGCGGGGGGCTCTCAGCGCGTGCTGGATGGCCACTGGAGCTCGTTCGTGAAGGCGCGACTCAACTGCTCGGTGGGGGGCGAGGCGCCGGGGGACGCCCCCTTCTACTTCAACGAGCTCCAGGGGGTCTCCGAGGTGCTCCACATCGGGGGTCGCGAGCTCGTGCTCGGGGTCTTCACCACCCCCCTCAACAGGTGCCCCCCCTCCACCCCGCCCACCCCCTCCACCCCCTCCACCCCACCCCCCTCCACCCCGACCCGGCCGTCACCCAGGCATCACTGCGCTGTCGAGGAGACGTTACCACCCTCGCCTGCCGCGAAGGAGCACGTGGGTTCGAGCCCCAGAGCCTGGCGATGCCCGCGGTATATTTGGAGCCCGCGTGTTCTCCCCGTTCTGCAGCTTGTGAATGCGAGATTGTGTTGGTGTGTTTGAGTGATCGAGTGTGGGAAGCGGTAGTGTGGTGGTTAGCGCGCTGCGCTATGAACCGGTGGCCCGAGTTCGATTCCTCCCCTAGGTCGATTCAGCCTCAAATGAGTGCCTGTTGCGGCGCGTAAACATCCCCACTAAGGGAGACAAAAGTGGCCGGCCGTGGTTCTGGCCACCCACCCCCGTGTGCCGTGCCGACCTCGCTAACAGCACTTGCCCCAGCAGTCTCCAAGAGGCTACACGGGGTAGCTTTGTCTTTACATGCGTGCGCGCGTGTGCGCAGCATCCACGGCTCGGCCGTGTGCGCGTTCGACATGGAGGACGTGGCCAGCACCTTCCAGGGCCGCTACTCGGAGCAGCGAGGGCCCGACGGCCCCTGGCTCGCCGTGCCGGAGGCCCGCACCCCACCCCCAGGTGCATCACAACACAGACCCGCCATCACACCGTGCCATCACACCACTCTCACACCACTCTCACACCACTCCCATCACACCTTACCATCACACCACTCCCATCACACCATACCATCACACCGTGCCATCACACCACTCCCATCACACCACTCCCATCACATCGTGCCATCATACCGTGCCATATTCTCAGGTTTTTTCGGTAAAGTCACGTAGGTAAAAAATAAAATTAAAAGTTAATAAAAGTAATAATGGAAATAAAATAAAATAATAAATCACGACGTTTCGGAGGCAACACAAGTCTCCGTTATCAGGTGGGACCGTCACAGCTTGATGCAGTAAT